TGCTTTCGCCCCATCTGGGCCTATATTGTTTGATCTAATTAAAATTTACAAAAATACTTAAATAAATAAATATTCTTTTATTTTTTGATTTTTTTAATTATTTATTTAAACTATAAATTGAGAAAATGTGTAAAAAATTACTCAAGACCAAGGGTTAAAGTGGAGAGAGTAGGACATTTAGCTATTTCGGAAGCTACTGCTTTCGCCCCATCTGGGCCTATATTGTTTGATCTAATTAAAATTTACAAAAATACTTAAATAAATAAATATTCTTTTATTTTTTGATTTTTTTAATTATTTATTTAAACTATAAATTGAGAAAATGTGTAAAAAATTACTCAAGACCAAGGGTTAAAGTGGAGAGAGTAGGACATTTAGCTATTTCGGAAGCTACTGCTTTCGCCCCATCTGGGCCTATATTGTTTGATCTAATTAAAATTTACAAAAATACTTAAATAAATAAATATTCTTTTATTTTTTGATTTTTTTAATTATTTATTTAAACTATAAATTGAGAAAATGTGTAAAAAATTACTAGAGGTAGAGGCTTAAAGTGGAGAGAGTAGGACATTTAGCTATTTCGGAAGCTACTGCTTTCGCCCCATCTGGGCCTATATTGTTATCACTAATTAAAATTTACAAAAATACTTAAATAAATAAATAAATATTCTTTTATTTTTTGATTTTTTTAATTATTTATTTAAACTATAAATTGAGAAAATGTGTAAAAAATTACTATAGGCAGAGGCTTAAAGTGGAGAGAGTAGGACATTTAGCTATTTCGGAAGCTACTGCTTTCGCCCCATCTGGGCCTATATTGTTTGATCTAATTAAAATTTACAAAAATACTTAAATAAATAAATATTCTTTTATTTTTTGATTTTTTTAATTATTTATTTAAACTATAAATTGAGAAAATGTGTAAAAAATTACTATAGACCAAGGCTTAAAGTGGAGAGAGTAGGACATTTAGCTATTTCGGAAGCTACTGCTTTCGCCCCATCTGGGCCTATATTGTTTGATCTAATTAAAATTTACAAAAATACTTAAATAAATAAATATTCTTTTATTTTTTGATTTTTTTAATTATTTATTTAAACTATAAATTGAGAAAATGTGTAAAAAATTACTAGAGGTAGAGGCTTAAAGTGGAGAGAGTAGGACATTTAGCTATTTCGGAAGCTACTGCTTTCGCCCCATCTGGGCCTATATTGTTATCACTAATTAAAATTTACAAAAATACTTAAATAAATAAATAAATATTCTTTTATTTTTTGATTTTTTTAATTATTTATTTAAACTATAAATTGAGAAAATGTGTAAAAAATTACTATAGACCAAGGCTTAAAGTGGAGAGAGTAGGACATTTAGCTATTTCGGAAGCTACTGCTTTCGCCCCATCTGGGCCTATATTGTTATCACTAATTAAAATTTACAAAAATACTTAAATAAATAAATATTCTTTTATTTTTTGATTTTTTTAATTATTTATTTAAACTATAAATTGAGAAAATGTGTAAAAAATTACTCAAGACCAAGGGTTAAAGTGGAGAGAGTAGGACATTTAGCTATTTCGGAAGCTACTGCTTTCGCCCCATCTGGGCCTATATTGTTTGATCTAATTAAAATTTACAAAAATACTTAAATAAATAAATATTCTTTTATTTTTTGATTTTTTTAATTATTTATTTAAACTATAAATTGAGAAAATGTGTAAAAAATTACTGAAGATCAAGGGTTAAAGTGGAGAGAGTAGGACATTTAGCTATTTCGGAAGCTACTGCTTTCGCCCCATCTGGGCCTATATTGTTTGATCTAATTAAAATTTACAAAAATACTTAAATAAATAAATATTCTTTTATTTTTTGATTTTTTTAATTATTTATTTAAACTATAAATTGAGAAAATGTGTAAATAATTACTAGAGGTAGAGGCTTAAAGTGGAGAGAGTAGGACATTTAGCTATTTCGGAAGCTACTGCTTTCGCCCCATCTGGGCCTATATTGTTTGATCTAATTAAAATTTAAAAAATTGATGATTCATTCTAAGTTTTGAAATGAAAAAATATTTTAATTAAAAATAAAATTACAATACAAAAGAAGCTATCTTGCAATATACGAAATGAGAGGGAATCTGTTTTTAGGTAAAAATAAAATAAATAAAATAAAACCATAATTTCTCTTAAAAAACTTATTTGCTAATTATGAGAGACGAGAAAAATATAGATTTTTTTCACTCATTTTAGGAAATCGTTTTTCTTTCAAATATAAATAACAAGTATTGGAGAAATTATGGTAATTAAATATATTTACATTTTAAAAAAAAGTAATTTCTTTAGAATAAAATTAATATCCATAATTTTCATGAAGATCAGCCATAATAGAGTATAAATCTTTTCTTTTTTCTTGATTAAATACAACAGTATTTAGAATGATATCATAGATTTTTGTGTTTCTTTTTATCAATTCATTTGTTACAAGATGACTTGGTTCGAATGGAATTTTAAAGCCATGTAGGTAATCAAGATTTTTTTATTTAAGGTACGGTTCCAATGTTTCAAAATTGTCTATTACAGCTAAAGTAACTCCGAGTGAAAAAATTTCGCTCTATTGGATTTTATATAAATAAAATATTTAATAAAATTAATATTTTATTAATTTACCTAGAATGTATATAATAGGGTGTTAAATATCTCAGGTGATATGTATCCAAGAGTGCCACACTTTTTATTATATTTTTAATTGTTTTTTAAATTAAAAAATAATTTACTGCTCCTTTAATAGATTTGTAGTCCTTAAGAATATCATCATTAATTTAAATCAATTCATAATGCATTTTTCTTGCTTAATCAAAGTCAGCTAATTATCAAAAATTATATTTTAAAAAAATATTAAAATATAATTATAGAATTACTTAGTTTTATGATTGGAACTTAAGATTGATTGTCATCGATATAAAGGATATTCTCAAGTTTAATATCTCTATGGACAATATCATTGTAATGTAAGTAGTTAATAACATCAATTACTTAAATAGCTATTTGCATTTTCTCTTCATCGTTAAGCTAAATCTTATCTTTCTTTAATCTGTTAAAGTATTGCTTTAGGTTACCTAATAAAACAAAAATAAATTATTTATTTATTTATTTATTTATTTTTTGAATTTAAATTTATATAATTTATTTGATACCAGAACATTTTTCAATTTCATATACAACAAAGTCCTCTTTCTTTGTAACATCTAGGTAAAAGAAGCCATAGAACTTGATTACAAGAGGCATTTAGCAATCTCTGATTATTCCAATTTCTCTAACGATTTCATGTTTGGATGAAACTCTCTAGATTTTTAAAGCTGAGTGCCTTTTATATGATTTGTTGTAGACTCCAAGAATTAAGCCAGTAGCCCCAACAGAAATGAATTCGAAATTAGAATCATATTAAGTATTTTTTAAGAGTAAATCAAGTATAATTTGATATTCAAAGATTTCAAAAGGCTTTTCTTTCAACTATTTAAATTCTTAAATCAGCATTTCAAATTTTTAATCCTAAAATACATTTTTAAATTTATTATAAAATAAATAAATTATTTTAAATAATTAAATTTAATGATTACCTTGTAGATTTAAGAAATTTAAAGGAGCTCAATTTCTTATTTCTTTGATTTTTCTACTACGCTCTTCTAAATTTAAGTGAGTTATTCAGCTTTTTTCAGTAGTTATTTCTTTACAAAAAAAACAAACAAACTAATTTATGATTTATTAAATAATAAAATTTACCTTATTTAATATGGAAGAAATCTCGACATCTAAGTAGTTTTGATTCTAAACGATGAATTGAATGAGTAAATCTACTGGAGGTGTACGATTTTTAGGATCGAATTCTATACATTGCTTAACTATCCTGTAAATTTAAGATTGTCTATTTATCTAAAAGCTTGAGAAAATATTTCCTAACTAAATTTCAAACTTTTGCTAATTTGTTGTTTTTGTGAAATCGAAGGTCTGAATGTTATCTAGCTCTAATAGCACTAAACCAAGAGAAAACATATCTGACTAATTTATTAAAACAATTTTTATTTAATTTATTTTATAATTAGGAGATAAATGATTTTTGAAATAAAATTTTGTAATATTTTTTAAAATTAAAAAGTTTTTGATTAAAAAAAAGAATAAAAATTAAGTTCAATAACAATTAGAAAATTAAGTAAATAATTTACAGATTTTTTGAATACTCCTTAATCTACTTCTGGTGCACTGTAAGATTGAGTTCCTTTCTTTATTTAAAGATAAAAAATAGATAAACGAATCAAATAAAATTTTAAATACAAATTTGGAAAATGAGATTCTAGATTTGTTGTTCTATAATGCAGTTGCAAAAGCTAGGTCGCCTATAATTTTTTATAAAAATTTAAGAAAAAAGACAAGAAAATATATGCTTAAAATAATTTTTGGGTGCTTTATCTTATTATATATAAAGCAGAAATAGCAGTTAATAAGTCTTTATTTATTTATTTTAGGTGGAACCAAATCACAAAACACCTCTATAGATTCTTGCTTTTTAAGAGGATTTAAATATAAATAAAGGGAAAACTGGATACTCCAACAATTATTATCATTCTATGTTTAGTATCTTAGGATTTTAAAAGATCGATATGCTTTTAATCTATAATTTCTTATGTTTTATCAAGTGAAATATTAAAAAAGATAGGAATTTTGTCTAAATTGATTACAGTAGGACTCTTCCCTTTTTAATGCTATATGCTCTCATTTAAAATATATTTATTTTTATCTAAAATATTTATTGAAACTCATAAGATTAAGAATATATAATAATGAGTGGAATTTCAAAAACAGGAACAGCTAAAATTATAAAAACTATTTAAACTTTAATTTATTTATTTAATGAACCTTTTGTATATTTTTTTATCTTTAAACAAAAATATTTTCTTTTCATATATATTTAAATGATAATTTATCAACTAAATTAAAAATAAACTTTAAGTTATAATGATTTGACTAAAACTTTTTATAAATTGTTTTTTTATTTTAATTATACAATTTACAAATAAAAGAACTTATTAATTAATCAAATAATTTTAAAAATAAATGAATTTTTCTCATAATTTTTTAAAGATTAAATAGAATATATTTTGATTGATTTTGAGTAAAGATATAGTAATAAATACAATCTTTTTTTACTTACTTGATTAATCATTAATATAAAATTAAGATACAAAAAATTTATTTATTTTCAATAGCTTAAATCACTCAGTTTTAATAGAATTGTTACATAGATTGCATGTAATAGATCTCAGTCTTGGTCAATATGCTCTTTCGATATTAATGGCTTGAATAAAGGAATTAATGTAATAAAAGGAAAATATTGATGAATTTTCATTTAAATATAAATTATCAAACAATTAATTAATTTTAAGAATTAATAAAGAAGAAAAAAATGGATTAATAAAATTAAAATTGTTATAACCTGAAAAGTGTAAATCTATTAAATTGCTTAAGTTGCTTCTAAAAATATATTTTTTGTGAATAAAAATCAATAATAGCTTGTAGAATCTGACTTATCTCATCAGACCCATATTGATTTAAAATTACAGTATAAATTAGTTATTAAAGTTTGTATTAAATTTTCCATAAAAAATAGGGATAATATTTATAACCAATCTGAAGTTAATTTGCTTTGTACTAGTTTTAGAAAATGTGAGAAAATTTAATCTTTGGCTTTAGATCTTGGGTAATTTAAATTAACTATGAAATAAAATTAAATTAAGAAATTGCTTAATTTACTATCATATATAAATATTTTTGTAGTTATAATTTATTAATTGATTTAAAAAAATTATTTTGATAATGTATTAACAATAAATTTAATTCGGCATTTTTATTTATTTAGTTAATTTTAAACAGTTTCTCAATACATTCTATCAATAAAATCCATAAATCTATCTATTATTATTTAAATTTTTTAAATAATGTTGAATGCTATATTATCTTTTGAATACTCAATAAAAAACTTATTTTACTATTTAAAAAAAGATCAATTCAATTAAATGTTAACTAATTTGTTGCTTTATGGGAAGAATTAAGTGTCTTGAAAACCTTATAAAGTCTCAAATTTAGCTTAGGGTAAGTTTTTTTATTTGAATTTTTACACTTGCTTTAAATATTGACTAACCTTTGTAAATTATTTTAACACTAAATTTATTTAATTATAAATATAATGATTTTTTATAGCTAATATAAACTTATTAGATGTTAATTATTTTATTCTTTTTTTAATAAAATAGAACAAAAAAATTTAAAAGTGAGGAGGAATTTGTTGCATTAGGAACTGCTTTCAAGAAGCTAACAAACCTAATTTAATTAAAATTTTATCTTTAGTAAATTAAATTGAATCCTTCTGATATTTACAATATTGATTGAAAGCAATTTAACTGATTAAAAATTTATTTTTATAAATACCTTCAAACAATTTTATTCAAATACTTACTGTCAGTGCTCTTGAATAATTATGATTAAAAATTTGTTGGAATAATTAATTCATTCTCTTCTTTTAGAATGAAATTTTTCTAAAATATTTTTTTATAATTAAATTTATTTATTGTTTTTTATATTTTCTTCAAGAAAATATTCATTTTTTCAATATTATAAAAAATTCTATATAATTTGTAATAAAAGAGAAATATTCTTTAACTAATCTAAATAAAGATAATTCTTTGATAAGATAATTTTTAATCAAAATAAATATTATTTTCTCTTATTCTAAGCACAGACAGTATTTAATTTTTGAAATATATTAATAATTAAATTTTTTATATACTTAACTTTTTTAAAAATTGAAGATACTGTTAAATAGATGATACAAGAGCTATTAGTATTATTAATGGTTTATGTCATTTAGAAAAACTAAAAGAATTAGAAATAGGACTATGGTATAAAATATTCATTTTATTTAAATTAATAAATTAAGTTTTATTAAAAATTAAAATATATATTTAATTTACTTTTTATTCAATCATAAGTTGATTATTTTAATCATTCTATTCTTATAATTGTTAAATCGAAAAGGATGAATGAAATAGGGAAGGAAGGAGCTACTGCTTTAGGGCCTCAGTTAAGTTGTTTAAAAAACCTAAGCAATTTGATGTTATACTTAGGGTAGATCTATTTGAGTTTAACTTATTAAATTTTAAAAATGTTAATCTTTTTTAAAAGCTAAAAAATCTGTTTTTTGAATTGATATATGAAAAATTAAACATTCTTTTTAATCATTTTTATTAGCTGGTTACATTTTTGTTTTATAACTAAAAGTGGAAATTAAATTAAAGATTTAGGAGCTGTTGCAATTTGTTTAGGAATATCTGAATTAAAAAATCTAACAAATCTTGCATTTAGTTTATGGTAATCTATTTAATTTATTTATTACTTGATATAAAGAATTATAAAATATTTTAACAGTATTTATTTTAATATAATAAATTTATTCTGAATAATAAAATATTTAAAATTAATACTGAAATATTTTATATTTAAAGGTGCAATGAAATAGGTAATCAAGGAGCTTCTGCTTTAGGTAAAGCACTCACTAACTTTAAAAATCTAAAATGCTTAACGATCAACTTAGAGTAATTTTTTATAGCTATTACTTTATTAAAAATAAAATACCTCAATATTACATTCAAATCATAATATTAGAATATTATTTTTTTAAAGAGTTAAAAAAGTTTCAAATTTTTTTAAAAAAAAAAAGAGATAATTTGATTGGAGATGAAGGAGGAAATAATATGTTAGATGGTTTGAGCACATGTTCAGATCTCAGTAGATTATCATTTTCGTTAAAGTAATTAAATATTACTATCATATTTTAATATATAAAAATCACCTTTAAATTTTATTCTTTAATTTATAAATCTATAATCAATAACTTGCAATTATAAGAAATCTATCTAAATAAAATGCAAAATTTATCTTTTTTTCATCTTTTTATTTAATATTTATTTTTTTTTATCTTTTCTGATTTATTCTTTTAATATATAAAAGGCAAAATCGTACATCTAATTAATTTAATTTGAATGTATCTAAATGCATTAGCAGTATCAAAAAATTATCAAGCTTAGAAATAAGATTAACGTATAATTAAATTAAATATGGAGGATTTTTGAACTTATTTTATAATTTAACTATAATTTAGAGAAGATTGCAACTATTTTGAATTTAATGGTTTACTTAACTGTAATTATTTAAAAACTCTTAAGATAGAAATTGAGGAGTAGGATATATTTTTTATAATTTATTATAAAATCATAGTTTTAATATTAAAAACTATAAAATAATTAATTTATTCTTGTATTTAAAATAGAAATCCTAATGAACTCGAATAAATAGTCAAAAATGCAGCTTTAAAATTAAAAAGATTAACTTAATTAGAAATTATTAATTGATTAATTCTTACTAAATAAATAATGCCTAACTAGCTAAAAAGGCCTTAATAAATTAATTAAATAAAAAATATTTTATAAATATATTTTGTATATTGATTTATTTAGTAAATAA